TAATTAGAATATTCCAGATCAACCTGGAAGACCAAAGTGGAGAGAACTAAAATCAATTTTCTTGGACTGTTTTACTACAAAATATGTTTGGCTATCAGCCAAATTTCTCATGCCCAAATACTGAATTAGGAGCATAAATAAACATGAAAGTGATAGGTCATTCATATATGTCTGCTAGAGATCATTTATTGGGTTGTTGGGAAAGTCATGATATATTTTTTCTATGTGTTTCTATACAAAAATGCATCATGACTTATCCAATGACCTAGTATGATTAAACTGTATAAGTAGAATGTACTAAAGAACCTTCTAAGGAAACTACTTATTGTGGCTTGGATCTAATATCCCATGCAGGTTAAGATTTCTTGATCCTTAATACATTTCTTACTATCTATAATTGAGAAATCTTTTAAAAATATGAACAAGGAAAAATGCACTTTTCCCAAGAAGCAGAGGTACTGAAAAATATTGCTGCTGTCCACCACTGAATAAAAAGTGGGTTGGAGGAGCACTGGCTGTGTGGATATGAATGTGTATCTAACTGTGTTTAGGAGGGATAGGTAAGAGTACACCTTATTAAAAGAGATGGCTAATATATTTAAACAGTCCAACTATGCCTTTTTTAAAAAGTCATAATTTAGCTAAAAAGAGGGCATCAGTCAAATGTTGACTTATAGTAGGCAATAATAATAATCAGATTTCAATAAATAGTTTAAATTTGCAAAATGATAGCGTTTAGGAGAAATATCTCTCATAAGGACTTTTATTTCACTTAGAAATAGTTAAGTAAGTCTTCTTAGGAGGCCTTTGGAATTTCATAGTTCTACAAACCATAGATATCATCCACCCTGATTTCTTATAATCATTACTCTGTACATTTGCTATTATTCAAAAATAAAATGTAAGAAAAATGAAATCTGTCAGTATGATATTTTTCTAAATTTAAGTTCTATGATTCCAATTAATGAAGCAAGACCTAAGTCAAAGTTTACTTCATTATATTTCTTTCCTAATTTTTTTTATTCAAGCACAAAGCTCTGTGAGCACACAATGCTTAATCAAAAATTATTGTTGGGACCAGCAGTTGGCGTAATGACTAAGTTGCTGGACTCTCATGTAGTCGACTGCAGTTTGAGGACCGGACCCAGGGGCTTAAACTCATGCCGGGTGCATGTGTGTGCGTGCCCAGGATCCCGAGAGGAGAATGGAAGAGAAGGGATTGTGGCATGGCCATCCCCCCCGGGGGGTGACTTCTCACTTTCTGTCTCCCTGTCTCTCTTTCTGGCAAGCGTACACGCCCTAGAGCAAAAACCTCTCCAAAAAAAAAAAAAAAAAAAGATTATTGTAATGTTGAAAAATGCCTGACAAAGGTAGAATAATCCAGTAAGTGAGTCTGTACTCCTAACAAGAGAATGGAATATTATATCACACTAAGTATGATTATATAAATGATGTATACAACCACAGCACCATCCATCTATGGGTTACAGAGAAAATTTATCAGAATCATGTTCTCAAATTGGATGCCAAATTATCACACAAAATTGTTAAACCAGCAAGTTCTCTTCAAGAAGCACTATTTGCAAGCCTCATTCACTCTAGTTATCAAGACCAGAAATTAGTACCAGGTTTTAGTCACACTCATGGTTTTGAGTTCCAACTCTTAATTTACTCTTTAATCAACCAACTCTTATTGAAGGTTGATAGAAGTAGAGTGGTAATTAGCATAAATTCAAGTCATCACTACAAGCCTTTCGAACCCAAGAATCACCTATGTTGAATCTTACCATAATGCTTAGATACTTCCTTGATCTATTCATAAAATTAAGAAAACTTCCTAAGTGCCATGTTGTAAAGACACAACAGATTAGTCTTTAATCGGCTATGATATTACTACAGTTCCATTAACCTCCTTTTTACTTCAGGAAAGTTGAAAAAAGTTCTGTATAGAAAAGTCTCCCTTAAAATTGACAGACTAAGAAGAATGGATGGTTCTGCTTATACTTTACGTCTCCTTCCTTAAATGACACTTTAAACCCTGAAGGCCATTAAAACTGGAGATGCATATCCATCAAGAGGAAGGCTCATGGCTACCGATCTTTTACAAACTACTTAAGCAAGAAGACTCCAGGGTGTCTCTCCAGCAGAACGTTTCTCCTCTGTGTAACAGAAGTTGGATGCTATCTGTTCCAGGCACAACTAAGATTACAGAAACTCAGATAAAATTTAGGATGTAATGCAAGCCATGGCAGCACATGAATGTGAAAGAAAGTATCATATAAAAAATGTTAGGAAAAAAAAAATCACTGTGCTCCACATGGTTTAGAAGGGATACTCAACCACATTCATGGCCCCAGAAAGCCTTAATCTGTTTCCCAAATTCCATGTTTATTTTATAATAACTGAAATCTCAGCTTCAAATCTAGGAAACACATCCAGTAGAAATAAGAAACCTCATGGTGTTGAAACCACAAAGCTCCAAAGTAATCTTGATTACTTTTCTTACGGTTGACATTTAAAACATCAGAAATACAATCTCTAGTGCCCCTTTCCTTACACTTGTCATATTGCTGCAAGAAAGCACTGAGGCAATGACTAAAACTTATGAACTCTGATCTGTAATGTTACTTTCACAACTACTCAAGCACATCAAAGCCTGAAGCCTGTTGTGTATTTTAATATGGAGAGACGTATAGACACTGAATAGTAACAAATACTGTACTCCATCTAATGCCACCACCAAATGGACACATTGAAGCCACACTCTCAGTCTGGCTAAAATGCGTTATTAGGTAAAATACTGAATTTAAAGGGGGACATTACCTTTGAAATTATCTTAGTACACAGAGAATTCTAACTCTAGAAGACCATTCTTTTTTTTTTTTCGGAGAGGTTTTAGCTATAGGGCACGTGCGCTTGCCAGACAGACAGAGAGAGACAGAGAGACAGAAAGCGAGAAATCACCCCCCTAGGGGGATGGCCACGCCGCAATCCCTTCTCCTCCATTCTCTTCTTGGGATCTTGGGCACGCACGCATATGTGCCCGGTGTGAGTTTTAAGCCACCGGCTCCAAGATTAAAACCACGGTCGACTACATGGGAGTTCAGTGACATAGCCATTCCGCTAACTGCTGGTCCCTAGAAAACCATTCTTGATGTCATGTTCTAATGAAAATAACATGCCCTTGGTTTAAAGAAACCTAAAGTGATCAATATAGAAAAATTTGTAAATAGAATTTAATCTGCACCTTATCTTCACCTGTGTCATTTCATAATCAACTCTGAAACAGTATAACAGAGATAAAGGTCTACCATAAACACTTTGTTAGTCTGTGCTTCTTCTCTTTAACTTGGCCTTCCCAATACTTGCAAACTACTATTAGAAGACTAGTCTGGTTTCGATTACCTTCTGATCAAGACTATACCACTTTTGCAAAGTTATACTCTTCAGTCTCTCATCTTGAAACTCTTTTTTCATTTGATTAAAAAACAGCTCTCACTCAAAGAGCAAGAGTTGATTGAATGGCAAAAATAATACACACACATGCATTTATGACGTGATACGGAACATATGAAATGGCTTATGAAAGTGGGGCGGGAATAAACTTTATTGGCCCATAGAAGGGATGAGGGAATGAGTAGGAGGGACAAGGAAAAGGAACGAAGATGGGTGGCAAAACTAAAATGGAATGATTTAAAATGTGCAAATACACTTGGTCACCTTCACCATTCAATTTATGTACAGTGGGATACAGGAAGGCTAAAGTGAGCTTCACTTTGTAGTTGATGCTACTAGTACCAGTTCTATCATTAGTAAGTCACCACTTAATTCTGCCAAAGTCAGACAAAGCTCCCTCTGGTTAGTGTAAACAAGGTTTTCCATCCTGGGCTGCAGTCTGACCGGCCAGTGCTCAGAAGGCATGCTTGTGACGAACTCGCACACTTTCCAGTTCCCCACCTCCAATGGCGGCCAGGGTCTCCAGCCTGCTTAAGCGCTCCAGGCTTCTTCCAAGAACTTCTTCTAGTCGATTGCGTAACACCTGGGCCCCTTCCAGTTCCACCTGCAGAGTTCGGTCTCTCTCAGAGCTGATTAAACATGCCACATGGAAGGAAAATGGATTAGCCATCAAATGTAAGGAGTCCACATATGCTTCCAAAGAGCCATGAATGCCACCGTGCGTCCTGAGACTCTAAAGGAACTGTTCTCCAGGACTCAACCAAGGAAAGCAGTCTTTGTAGTGGCACTCTTGTTCACTGCTGGTAGATTAGCAGGCCTGTTCCTTTCTGTACAGCTTGTCCCTTCATGCTAGATTCTGGGCTAATCTCATATAAAAGTATAGTTCTTAAGATTTATCTCACACTTCTACAACCCACATAAGAGAAACTTCATTATTTGACTAAGAACTTCAGTTTCTGAAAAACTAAAACCCAAGAAAATCTAAATGTAAATCGAAGCAATATTGAGCCAAGTAGAACTCCTATGGAAGAAATTTGTTTTATCATTTGTTACCAAACTTGACAGTACCCTGAAAAGGAACTTGAGATTAAAGATCCAAAGGTTCTTTTAAAAAATAACAGTCAAGTGGTCCTATCACACTTTTCCTCTGCCTTCATTTTTCTGAGGTAGAAAGAAAATATTTTTAAAACCTAACAAAAAAACTAGAATAAAAGAATTAAAGTTGAAAATGTATAAAAGGAGCGAGGAGAGAAGGCAAAATGAGAAAAAATAAAGAGAATATAAGATGAATCAGAAATATATAATATATATGACCAAAAATCAAGAAGATTATAAATATAGTGATATGTTTGGGGACCAGTAGTTGACATAATGGCTATGCCGCTGAACTCCCATGTAGTCAATCGCGGTTCGAGTCCCGGACCCAGTGGCTTAAACTCATGCCAGGCGCGTTTACATGCGTGCCCAAGATCCCAAGAGGAGAATGGAGGAGAAGGAATTATGACATGACCATCCCCCCTGGGGGGGTGATTTCTTGCTTTCTGTCTCTCTCTTTCTGGTGAGTGTGTGTACACACCCTACAGCAAAAACCTCTTAATATAGTGATACATTTGCAATAATTTTCAGTGATATTGGCATGGTATTAGCCATGACAATGAATATATTTTCTTCAATAATATTCAGTGGTATTAAATAAATATCAGTGTCCTTTATAGGCTCATTTTTATAACAGAATAGCTTTTAACAGGACATGAAACAGGGAAAGGAAAGAGATAAATACAGCGTTTACTCAGCCTTGTTGTAGAAACCTAACCTGCCTTCTCATTTAATCTTTGCAATAGCTGCGTGAAATAGGCACTATTTCTCAGTTAAGATTTAGACATTGGAAGCCAGCAGATGGCATAGCAGTTTTGTTGCTGGAATCCCACATGGCCAAGCACAGTTCAAGTCTCAGACCTGGTGGCTTAAAACTCATGCCAGGCACATGTGCATGTGAGTCCAAGATCCCAGGAGAAGAATGGACGAGAAGGGATTATGCCATGGCCACCCCTCCCCCAGGGATGATTTCTCACTTTCCCACTCATTATCTCTCTCTTGCTCTCCCAGTACACACACCCTAAGGCAAAAACCTCAACAACAACAAAAAAAGATTTATACATTGAGGCTAAGAACGAAGAACACAATGAGTGATAAAGTGGGTAGCCCCCAAAACTGTGCCTGTTTTCTTTTCTCCCCTTTTTGATATCATAAGCATTTGGACTTAATAACACAGTCAAGTGGTCCTACCAAAGGGAAAAAGTGCAAATACTCTCTTACCTGTCTGGCTGGGCATGGAACTTCACCAGACTGCTATAGAGCTGTCTCTCTGCTTGCAAGGCCTCATTGAGCCGACTTCGTTCATCCACTAGTCCCTCCAGCATCAGTAGTAACTGAGAGAAAAAGAGGGAACAAGCAACACACAAATGGCAAAGTGAGACATGAACCCACAGTTAATCCTAAGAAAGCACAAAGAATGCATTAGCATGAATCATGACTAAAAAACTATTTTATTACTCACTTAAACTTTCTATAGTATTTCATACTTTCAAATCAAATGTGTCCTTTCTTTTTTAATCTTTAACATCCTGTAAGGCAGAATTCAAATATGGCAACAAGAGGAAGAGGGAAGAAGAGAAAAGGGAGAGAGAAGCCAGCAGCACAGGACAGGCTAAGAAAAAGGAGAGGAAGAGGGACAAGCAAGAGGGGAAACATGAAAAAATGAGTCTTAATTCAGTCATTCGGGATTTACTGAGCACCTTCTATGTGACAGGTTCTGTTCAAGCTTCTAGAGAAAAGCTTACTATTTGGTTGGAGGTGGGGGTGGATATTCATCAGTCAGAGATGTGTCACTATAAGCTGTAGTAAGTGCTATAGCAAGATAAACTATGACCACATGTACACAGCAGAGATCTATTTAAGGTAGACTTGAAAGCCAGACAAGTGAGATGAGTAGTTAGTGAGAAAGATGATGATGGAGACAGGGAGTACAGGCAAGTAAGTTTTTCTGGAAAAGTCTGGCACTGAAGAAAGGTTAGACAAAGGAATTTGAGACAGAGCTGCCCCCAACCCCTTTTTGTTTCTTAAATTGGGAGAAGTCTGAATACGGTTAAACACAGGAAGATGAGGGTTAAGTTGAGAAGGTGACTTATCTGTGACAGTGAGTGTCATACCCTAAGGTGCGGGGCTTTACAACACAAATTCTCCCTGAAACACCATCAACAGACTCCTCCAAAAGCAGTAGAAGTTGACAGTTTCTCCAGTTTATTGCACAGTAAAAAGTAAGGTTTGTATTCTAGTAATTTACCTGTTGTCTTCGGTTTCCTGAAATTTCTTGACCCTGGGATTCTACTGAAGCAACTTTTTCTCGAAGAAGTAGGACTTCTTGGGTCAGACGTTCCATGGCTGGTATATCCTCAGGATCAACCAGTTGCATTTGCAGGTCCTAGAAGTCAAAAAATAAGTACAGACTTCAAAATAGTAATAAAGGTACTATTCAGCAGAGGAGCACGGGTTCCGATGCTCCTGAAATAGTCTGCTACGCTCTCCAGTGGGGCATCAGTAAGTACTGCCCAAGGGATTCAGAGTATCCAGTGTATCCAAGTGCCCTCCAGGTACTCTGAGCTGCAAAGGTTTCCAATGGTTTTTAAAAAGCTTTCAAAGACCTTTATGAGGTCTTCTTTAATCTGCATGTTCCTGGTCAGGGACTCCATATCAGCAGCCTGCACCTGCAGTTCCTCCTCCTGAACAGCCATCATGGACTGCAGAGCAGAAAGTTCCATCTGTGGAGAGACGAAATCCCGCAGTCAGTGGGCGAAGAAACAGTACCTGTCACGTTTACATTTTAACACTAGGGCAAATGCTTTTCCATATTATATCACTATCAGACAGTTAATTTTTTTTAAAAGTAAGAACATAAATAATATGCTTCTGGACCCAATAAAAAAAGCATGCAGTGTTGTATGAAAAGGTGTGTTATAGAAAGCGGAAAGAGTTGTTTTTAAGTTCATCCACTTATTTCTTCAATGAGAGAGAGAGAGAGAATGAGTGAGCAGAACCCCAGCAGGGTTTTGTTTTTTGTTTTGTTTACTTTTGTTTTTTAAAAAGATTTTTGTCATAGGGCACATGTGCTTGCCAGAGACAGAGAGACAGAAAGTGAAAAAAAGCCCTCCATGGGGTATGGCCACATCGCAATCCCTTCTCCTTCATTCTCCTCTTGGGATTTTGGGCATGAACACACATGTGCCCAGCATGAGTTTCAAGCTACCAAGTACAGGATTCAAATCGTGGTCATCCAAGTGGGAGTCTGGCACCTTAACCACTATACCCCCACTGCCCCTCCAACAGGGTTTTGATGCCACAGTCTATTCCCAGCCTTCAGCCAGCCCCAGATCACAGGCATGCACCTGCCCAGAGTACACAGGGAGACCCCTAGGCACAAACTAGGAACCTCCTCGCATGGGACTGCCTCGCGGAGCACTGCACTAACTGTTGCACCACCGTTCGACCCTGTAAAACTTGGCTTTAATGAAGTCATTCACTGCAGTTAGTGCTACCAAACACATCAAATTTATTTCATGACTTTATTATGACACTTTAAAAATGATCACTATTGGGACCAGCAGTTGGCATAATGGCTATGTCACTGGACTCCCATGTAGTCAACTGCAGTTCAAGTCCCGGACCCAGTGGCTTAAACTCACACCAGGCACATGTGTGTGCATGCCCAAGATCCTGAGAGGAAAATGAAGAAGGGATTGCAGCGTGGGCTACCCACTAGGGGGTGATTTCCCACTTTCTGTGCCTCTGTCTCTCTCTGTCTCTGTTTCTCTCTCTCTCCCCCTCCAGTGAGCACATGCACCCTATAGCAAAAATCTCCCTTAAAAAAAAAAATTCACGATAAAACCCATACCTGGTAACATTTCCTGGATGTTTACTCTGTCCTAGGCATTATGATAAAATGCTTTGTGTGTGTGTGTGTGTGTGTGTGTGTGTGTGTGTGTGTGTAGATAGATAGATATTTCAAAAAGTTTGTGGGAAGTGGAATTAAAGTATGGATTTATTTTGGTGAATAAGATTTTTTGAAATCTACGCAGATTTTTCATAACATATGTTTTCCACAAACTTTTTGAAGAACCTCCCTATATAAAATTTTAAAGTATAAGAAATAAAAATGTTATTTATATATCTTCTAATTCCATCAATGCTTACAGTCTCATGTTTACAGGATCTCTCACATGTGGGCTCATGCTGATTTACAATAATGCACACCTATTTGGGGGCTCTGGGCTACTGTGGCCCATCAGCAGGAGATACGTCTCTTTACATTTCCTTCTGTTGTGGAAGGAGCTCGGTGTAACTCCTGACCTGTGTCCACACCTCTACTAACAGCCCTGGCAGGTAGAGGAACTTATCCTAATGGTACACAGTGGAAGAATAAACCAGGTATGCTTCAGTCAGCACAGCCTGGCGTGAGTTTAAGCCACCAGGTCCGGGACTGGAACCGTGGTCAACTACGTGGGAGTCCAGTGACATAGCCATTACGCTAACTGCTGGTCCCAACATACAAGTTTTTAGTTTTGGTCTTTAACTCTATGCTTTGGCTTTAATATTCCTTTTACATCATAGCTGGACATGTGATTGGCTATATAGGGAAGGCAGGGGCGGGGAAGTTCTGTAAAGCTGAGAAGTTGCATTGCACCTAAGAAAATGTATGAAATGTTATTGCTAGAAATAAAGCAAAAATTGGGGGAAATTATCTGCTTGAGAAAATGATTTCTTAGGAAGCATCTGGAGTCACAAGAGACTTGAGATTAGATCTGGCAATTATTAATTATATGACTATTCCCCACCCCCATGTTAAAAACCAGTGTGTTAGAGACAGCTGGTGGAGTGATGGTTAAGGTGGCTGGATCCCACATGGCCAACTGTGCAGTCTGAGTCCTGGAGCCCAATAGCTTGAAAAACACACTAGGTGCATGTGCATGTGAGCCCAAAACCCCGGGAGGAATGGAGGAGAAGGAACTCTGGTGTGGCCATCTCCCTGGTGGGGATGCTTTCTCAGCCCCTCCACTCCTGCTTCTATCTGTCTCCTATGAACACATATTCTATAGCAATTTTTTTTTTTAAATCAGTGTTTCAGCCTACTTATCTGTGAAATAGGACCGATACCATTTACTTTGTACCAGTGTTAATTTAAGTACCTAGCACAGCACACTGTATATAATGAGTGCTCAATAAATATGGTTGATTGTAATCAAATGTCTCATTTAAAACTAATTTTGTGGGTCTAATGTTATAATCCTAAGCAGTGGTTATATTGCACTTCATTTTTTCACAAGTGCTTTACAACTATTTTATTCTGGGCAGCAATGGGTAGAGAAAGATGTGCTGTCTCAGTACTTAGAAGTTTTTATTTTATTTTATTTTTATTTTATTTATTCATTCATTTATTTTAATTTGACCAGAGAAAGACAGAAAGAGAAAGATTGAGAATGCAAGCTGCCAGGTCCGGGACTCGAACCGTGGTCAGCCATGTGGGAGTGTCCAGCACCTTCACCCCCATGTTAAAAACCAGTGTGTTAGAGACAGCTGGTGGAGTGATGGTTAAGGTGGCTGGATCCCACATGGCCAACTGTGCAGTCTGAGTCCTGGAGCCCAATAGCTTGAAAAACACACTAGGTGCATGTGCATGTGAGCCCAAAACCCCGGGAGGAATGGAGGAGAAGGAACTCTGGTGTGGCCATCTCCCTGGTGGGGATGCTTTCTCAGCCCCTCCACTCCTGCTTCTATCTGTCTCCTATGAACACATATTCTATAGCAATTTTTTTTTTTAAATCAGTGTTTCAGCCTACTTATCTGTGAAATAGGACCGATACCATTTACTTTGTACCAGTGTTAATTTAAGTACCTAGCACAGCACACTGTATATAATGAGTGCTCAATAAATATGGTTGATTGTAATCAAATGTCTCATTTAAAACTAATTTTGTGGGTCTAATGTTATAATCCTAAGCAGTGGTTATATTGCACTTCATTTTTTCACAAGTGCTTTACAACTATTTTATTCTGGGCAGCAATGGGTAGAGAAAGATGTGCTGTCTCAGTACTTAGAAGTTTTTATTTTATTTTATTTTTATTTTATTTATTCATTCATTTATTTTAATTTGACCAGAGAAAGACAGAAAGAGAAAGATTGAGAATGCAAGCTGCCAGGTCCGGGACTCGAACCGTGGTCAGCCATGTGGGAGTGTCCAGCACCTTAACCACCACACCACCTGCTGGTCCCCATGTACTTAGAAGTTTAAACAGTCCTCCATTAACAAAAGCATCTTGTTGAGATAACGTATATAATAAAGCAACTTAGATTTTAGTACAAAAAGAAAAAAGGCATACCCAGCACTTGGACTCCAACATTATATTTGAAGAACTGTACTTATATTTGAAAGAAAAACTGTACATTATATTTGAAAGAAAAAAATAGGAATTAGAAATTAGGCTCGAGGCTTGAGAGAAAAACTCACCCGACTTTCTCTTTCTTTTTTAGCCATGAGTTCAAGTTCCTCTTTGGCATTACTCAGTTCTTTTTCCAGACCTGCAACTGTATCCATGTCTCCTAAAATGAAAAATGAGTAGAGTGCCAGTTTTAATCACTATCAACATATGTGATCTCTACTGCCTCATTTCCAAGGAATTTATTCTGATGCATTATAACAGTTTAAAGAACAGATTATGCACAAGTTGGTTCTTTGCAGCATGATTTGTAGTAACAAAATACCTATACATATTATAAAAAAAAGACAGAATTAAATAGTAATATAGTCACACAATGGAGTACATTATATAGCTATAAAAAAGAATAAGACAGATCTTTATAAACTTCGGTGAAGTGACTTTGAGACCATGTTAAGCAAAGCAAGCTAGGTACAAGAGAACATACCTAACATAGTATGTTTTGGATTAGGAAAAGTGGAGACAGACACACAAACACATAATTCTCACACACACACACACACACACACACACACACAGGATTCATCTGATTTTTTTTTTTTTTTTTTTTTTGCAAAAAGATACACAGAAAGGTAACTCAGAAATGAAATTGGTCACCTTCACGGGATGGGTGGAAACAGGACAGAGAGACAATAAAATAAAATAGGATTTTTGAGTAAATATTTTTATGTATTTGAGTTTTTATCATGTTAATGTTTCATTTTTAATGTGTAAACTAATCTGACAATAGTAAGAGGAAAAGCCTAAACTTAAGTACTAAAACAAGTAAATCTATATATCAGAAGATGATTTAAAAATTAACCCAAATAATTTTTTAACTCAGCATTGTAACTGTATACCCTCAG